CTCAACTGCGCCTGAATTGGTGCAATCAGCACGCCCAGCGAGACTCGAACCTGGATCGCGGTAGTGCAGGTCCTAGTCTCGACACATTTACCACTCCGCCACACCATCACGAGTGCCTCTGGACTACAGGGAAAATATAATTTCAAAAGGAAAGCTAGGTCTCTTCCATCTTTTATCTTTTTATCGTGAGATTATGGATGAAGCGAATGTGTGTTTTTCCACTTCAATCTACTGTACTACTTATATTCGTTGTGAGTATATCTCGCAAATACGAGTATATCTTAAGCACGAACTTTGTTTACCCATCATCACTTAAGAGGATGTAGGGAATTATAGTTGAAATTTCATTTAGAAATGAATAGTTCTCACGATATAATAAATTTCACCGAGGCAAGGCATCCTTTGAAATGACATAGTAGTTTAAAATTAGTACGTGTTTAACGGAGGAATATGAAAATGTAAAAATTCGAGTGTCGTTGAATTCGGGTGAATGCATGACTTTAATCAACACAACTGAAGAATATTCCAGAATTGAATTCGTCCATAGTGTACAGGGTGAGACATTGGTCAAGATGGCGTGCATCAGACAGATGTTCCCTCTACTAAACTGGCTTTTTGATGAATCTTCTGAACTTCTGTTGTTGCCTCACTCGCCAAAACAGGAAGAGGATAGACTGTGGGTCCGATGAGAGTGGCAAGCCCTCCTTGGCCCGATGGGCTAACAATGCTGAAGTCATATTCATTTTGATTGGGTTAATGAACTATTGTTAGATCTTGAATAAGAGCTCTGTTCACTTTAGTTTGCATGAAATGTTGAAGGAATGATAGTTACATTTTTTCCTCACTAGGCCATTTAATTTTGTTCAGTTTTGCTTCCCAACTTCGGGAAACGTGAGTCCTACTCAAATATCCGTTCTTCCTCACATGCGACCGAGGCTGAAGTCATTTTTTAGGTATGCATCTCCAATTCGCCGAGCCAAACTCCACTCACCATATCCGTCCTGGCCAGATCTGTGACCTCGTTTGGCTCTCGCGACTCGTCCTCACGGACCGTCGGCGAATGTATCGTTCCTGCGTCGTCTGTTGATGAAACTGCCGTCTCGTCGACTGCCTCCTCGGGGCCGGTCAGAGGGGCCGTGGGACTGGGCAACTCGAACCACCTCACTTGAGCTGGCGGATGGCAGACGCTCGCGGTACAGACCAACTCGAGACGGCCGGCCTCACGGACACCCTCGATGGGATGGGCGAAGAGACGGATGTTGTTGGGCGCAACTGCGACCGAGGTTTGTGGGCGAGAGCGGGAAGAAGCGGAAATGTATTTACTATACATTACTTTACTGTAAGATTCCAATAAATAATAATCTACTAAAGTATGCAATACTCTACTATGCTACACTCTATTACCTTTTACTATATTATACTGTAACAAGCTATAAACCATA